AGGAGGACAAGGAGGAGGAGGAGGAGGAGGAGAGGAAAAGGAGGAGGAGGAGGAGGAAAAGGAGGGGGAAGAGGAAGAGGAGGCGCAAGAGGAGGAAGAGGAGGAGGAGGAGGAGGCAGAGGAGTGTTTCGATTATTTCGCATCTCGCCCCCCGCGAAATTCGCGGTCTAAGGGCGCGCCGCGGGTCGCCCCCTCCCGGGCGCGCCGTGCCCCGCGGGGGTATCGTCGGACGTCGGGCGTCGGTCCGAGACCGTCCGCGCTGCGTGCAGCTGGAAACGTTTCGCCCAGTTGAAGCATCCGAACAACGCCGAGGGGCGACGGGCGCATGCGACCTGACTTCGCTGCGACGTTCGCAGGGGCATGCGCCCGCGGCGTCGGATGCTGCTCGCGCGTCGCAAATTGATCTGCGGCGAGATGCATTGGATCATCTATTCCGCCGCCGACGCCGCGGCGGCCCTCTCTCGGGGGGTCGCGGCCCTGGGGCCCGCCCCCCCCCCCCTCTCCACGCGCGTCTGGCTGAGGCGCGTGGAGCACCGCTGAAATCTTCTCCTTCCAGTTGTCCTCCCGCGGATGGAAGGCGCTCTCCTCTCGGGGGTCACGGCCCTGAGGCCCGCCCCCATTTCCGCTCGCGATTGGCTGAGGCGAGCGGGGCGCTGCTGAGCTGCTCTCCTCCCAGCTGCCCTGGGGCCGGTGGAAGTCGCGCTGCTGCTATGGCGCTGACTGCTGCCCGACGCACTGCAATCACTGCGCTGTCGTCGAACTGTCTGCAATATCCAAAGCATTGTACTTCTCCAGCTTGAGGTTGGCTGTGGATCTGGTCGCGCTGTTTTGGCTGGTGCTGCTGGGTCGCAGCACGCCGCTGCCCGTCGCGTTGCTCGACGGGCTTGCTGGCGGCAGCCTGGAGGCGCACCGCCCGCCGTCTTCGCCTGTCTTCCGCACTCTCTGCCGCTGCTGCCGGGGGCGGTGCTGGGCACATCGTTGGCGACAAACGTCTGGTCGGGTCGGTACTCGCTCCCATCCTCGCGCGAGGTGGTGCGGTGCGTGCCCGCTAGCTGGTCCCCGCACCTTTGTCGGTCGGGCGCTGTCCGTCGTGCTGTCGGGCGTGGTCGTCCGCCGCCGTCGTGCTGCTTGTCGGCTGGTGGTGCGGCTGGTGCTGTTGGTTCAAGTCGCGCTGCTGCTCGTCGCGTTGCATGGTCTTGCTGGCAGCCGCCAGGAATCGTAGTGTCCGCCACCTCCGTCGGTTTTCCGCACTCTCGGCCGCGTCGTCTTCGACCTTCGGCGGTCGCGGGGTCGGAGCGCTGGTCGCGGGGTCGGCGCGGGGTCGGCGCGTTGCTGGAAGTGGCGCGAGGGTGGCGGGCGTACTTGTTTGGCCTCCATGCGCCGACTTCAAGTGGGACTCGTGGCTGCCCCACCTCGTCCCGCTATGGCTAGGGGTCAAAGTGCCTTCGATGGGGGCGAACCCCAGTCCCTGTGCTTGCTTCTGCTCGCGGTGGGGCAGGTCGCAGCTGCCCAGTGCTCCGCCTCGCAGGCGTTCGGGTGAGCTCCCCCTCCGCCGTGGGAACGGCGGGGGTGGCGAGCTACGGCGGACCGCCGGGGCGCGGGCAGCGGCCGCCCCCCCCCCCCCCCCCCCCCCTGCCCCTCACCACCACCCGGGGCGGGCGCGGGCAGTGCTCGCCCTGACCCCCTGCCCTTCGAGCCCGTCTCGAAGTTTGAGCATGGCCTCACCAGGGCTGCTGCGCCTCGTTCTCCATGTGGGAATGGTGGGCTGTCGTCTTGGTTGTGCTGCCGTCGGTCGAGTCGATCTCGCTGGCCGCTTGCGCTGGCTTGTCGCGCGACTCTACTTGCGCTCTGAACCTTGCGCGGCATGGCTACGCCCGCCTCCTCGTGCTGTCCAGCTCTACATGGCGACTTGTGCCTGAGGCGCCCCCTCGCGTTCGGGGCCCCCATCGGGACTTTGCGCCCTAACGCCATCAGCTCCACGTGGCGACTTGCGCCTGAGATGTTCACTCGCGTCTGGGGCGTCCTCGGGTCTTTGCGCCCTAACGCCACGGTCGCGGCGTCGGCGTTCAGCGGCGTCGGCCTGCTGATGCGGCGCGGGTCGGACTCAGGTCGGGTTTGCGTTCGTCTCGGCGTTGCTGCGCGCGGTTTGAAGGCTGCTGCCCGCCTTGCAACGGTGGCGTTGCAGGCGTCGCTGGCGTCGACCTGTCTGCGCCGTTTGTCTCGGCGCCCCCACCCGCGTGTGCCATCCCGTTCCACTTCTTCAGCTTGTAGTGGAAGCTACTGCATGGTGGGGCTCCGTGGCATTATGCTTACATCTTCTGCGGTGCGCACTCCACAGCTGATGTCCCGCATGCTCTGCAATGCCTTTTTCGTTCTCTGCTCAAGTATTGGAGGTGATGTGACGGGTGCGCTGTGTTGCCATGAATATGTAACTCCACCCCATGTGTTGCTGTGGTCCGTCGCAGCCGCCTTCGAACCAGTTAAACGCGCTGTCGAAATCTGTGTCCCTTCCCACGCTTTGACAGCAACAACAGCACTTCCAACCCTCCCCGCGTCGCAATCGTGGGAATAGGCGCGTCGTTGGCGATCGTCGCCCGATGGGCCCAAGTGGCCCCGGTGCGAAATATCATGCTTTCCCCGTCCGCTCTTGTCGAAAGTCTCTTTTCTGCTGGCGTCTCTTGGCCTTGATGTCGCGGTCTTCTGCTGGGCCTCGTTCCAGGACTTGTTGCGTTGCTGACGTGGTCCGTCGCCCCACCAGGGCCGCCGTCGCGGTTACCCAGCTGTAGCACTGCATCTTTGCGTCGTCGGTGTCGCGCCCTTCTGCCGCGATATCAGCGTGCTTGTCGGCTCGCGCGTTGTCGTACCATGCGTGTCGCGGGTATCGCTTCTCTTTGGCTTCTCCCCAGCTGAGGTGGCTGTTGATGCGGTAGAGCGGTACTTCGTCTGCTGGCCCTCGCCGATGTAGCTCTCGCCCTATCTCTTTCCACAGATCGCCGATGGCCCCCGCATCTGCTGGTCGTCCGAAACGCGATGCCCAGCCTTTGAAGGCGATCTCGCTGACTGTCCAGAATGGCAGCGGCCCCGCAATGCTCTTGAGGCAATCAAGCAGCGCCCGCACTTCCGCTCTGCTGTTAGTTTGGCGTCGCCCTCGGAGGGGTCCGCACTTGTCCTCAAAGATGCCCATGTCATCTCCGCCCAGTCTTACCCAGGCCCAGCCACAACGTCCAATCGAGGACGCATTTGTCTTCTGAACCGTCGCCGTACGCCACGATTGGTGTTCCGTCTTCTGTGACGATGCGCCCGTGGTGCATGGTGCCCCCCTTGCAGTTGGCCCCCTCCTCCTCCGCGTTGCACTCTGGTGGCGCTGGCCATGAACGTGGCGCGATGCCTCGTAGCCAGAACGCTGGAACCGCATGTTACCCCTCTTCAGCTAGGCGCTGTAGCACTTGAGTCTCGCGGAACATGTCGCGGTCTTCCATGGCGTCGCAACTCTGCAAAATTTTTCTTCGGCTCCACATTCGCATTCTGCCGCGCCTTCTCCGAAGCATGCCCCCTGTCTTGCTCTTGCCCAGGCCCCGGCGCATGATGCGACCAGCGGCGCGCCGTATTCTCTGTAGTTACCGCGTCGTAGTAGCCACTCCAGGCGCCGTCGCAAGTCGGCGGCGTCTGCCCCGCTAGAGGCAGTGGGCGACGCCTGTCGTGACAGCGTCTATGATGTCCGTCGGGTCGCCTTGCCCGCCGCCCACGGCGCATGTCGAATAGTTCTTGTTCTTATCGATCCAGGTCTCGGGCCCTCGCAAGTCCCATCCTAGCTCCCATCGGCGTCAAGACGATGGCGGCAATGAGGCCGCTCTTATTCACCAATCGACGCTGTTCTGGTGTCTTCAGGAGTCGGAAGTAGATATTTGGCCATGCCCGCCGCACCTGGACTCGAAGGTCGGCGCTATTCCCCCAGCAGCTGAGACACTTGGCGAACAGACTCTCCGTGATGGCGCACACAGGGTCGGCACCTTCCACGGCCAGGTGCGCGGTGAAACACCCACCTGGCCATGGTGTCCTTAGGGCCTGTGCGTAACGTCGCCGTGCCAGTTGTAGCTCGATTGGTGCCGAGCCGTGGAATGCTGCTCCGTGCCGTAGTGAGGCCACGCCGTCTTATTGGATGATTCCAGCTCTGCGCCGAACGCGTAGTCGTCGTAGCTTGTGCCCCACTGCTCCAGAGCGCTCCTGCATTCCTGCCCATCATGCCCTGTGTATCGTTATTATGGCCGTCCCGCCTCCGGCTGATCTGTCGGCCCCTCGGCCCCTGCCCTCGTTCGCGATGCTGATGTCGCTGCCGTCGTGCTTGAGTTGCTGTTGCATCCCCTGAGTGTCGCGGTATGTCGTTGACATGAGCGCAGTTTTGTCGGCTAGCTTGGGCTCTTGCTCTCCGAGGCTGAGGTGCAGCTTGTGCGTCGCTGCTACAGTGGATGGGATCACTTGCGCTCTGCTGCCGATGATCCGAATGCTGATGTCGTCGAACCATGCAAGTGGCACCGGTCGTGGTATGTTGGCAGTGCCAGTCGATTTCGCCATCGCCGCGTAAACTTACGTTTTGGCCACGTTGTTGGAACGGCGTGACCCAGCGAGGATCGAGCGGCCGGCGTAGCGTGGGAGCGAGTACGCCCCTTGGCTGCGTAAAGTTCTCGTCGCCGAGCGTTGTGGCATCATGGAATAGACTGGCCTCGCTGGGAAGTTGAGCTGGAGTTCTGCTGGCATGGCCTCGCCGATGCGCAGGCTGTCATAGAACTTCTCAATGTCGGTTAAAACTACTGATTCCCATGAGCCTAATGCGTCTGCGCATTCGTCTGCGACGGGGCGTCGTACTGTTACTCGTGGGCAGCAGTTGCCCTCGATCGTTGCATCCCATTCTCGCTCGTGGCGCCGCACCCATCTCCGAACGCGCCGTCGGTGAAGTAGCTCTCAGCAGCGCGCATGTTTTGGAAGTGGAGCTAGGGCTCGACCCCCTTTGGCGGGCTTCGGGATGCTCGTGGCGATGGACGCGAGGAGCTGCCGCGGCCGTGCAAGGTGCCGCTCGCGCTCGTTGAAGAGGTCGACCAGCGCCTGGCGTCCAGATTCTGGGAGGCATCTTACGTCGCCAATGCAGATCCTGTCCACGCCCATGCCCATGTCGGGTTCGCACCTTCGTGCACCTGTCGAGGTCGTCGAGCGCCCATGGGTCGCGCTCTTCCTCCTCGGCGGCCTTGGCGCGGAGAGCGATGAGGTGCTCCTTGTGCTCGCCGCGCGGCGTTGCGTCGCATTTCCAGATCTGGGTGGATGTACTGGTCTTGTGGTTTAGCATGTCCTTCGGGCTGCACAGCGTCGTTGTGCCCGTATCAGTTTCGCGTCGTGGTGGTGGCTCGGTGATCTTGTGGAGAGCGCCGCTGCGCTTGTCAGCCTGCATGGGACGCGTTCCGCGCTGCTTCCTGCTGTCACTCATGTCAATCCGAAGTGCGCGTCTAGCTTCCTGTTCTGCCTGTTCCGCCATGCCCTTCAATGTCTCTAGTGAGATAGATTTCAACTGCTCAACGCGGACCTTCCGGGTCTCTGCGGAGTCGTGCCGTCGCTGCGGGCGTCGGACCTGCAGGGGGCAGGCCTCCCCGCGCAAGTCGTCGGCCCGCGATGGCGAGCTCCCTTTGCTGCTGGTGCCCGTGACGTCGCTCTTGTAGCTTGGCTAGTGCTCGCAGCGTCGTCTCAGCGCGGCTCCGCCAGTCCATTCCGCGCGATGCGAAGCTGCGTCGTCGGCCCCATTTTTCCTTGAGCTGCTGCACCTCGCAGTGGCATGGCGACCCCCGTCCGCGGAATGCTGCTCTGTCGTTGGGCTCCATCCTGTGTGCCATGCAGCAGAACTTCTCCAGGGCGCCGATGAAGCGCTGGCACCTCCGTTCGAGACGCTCCGCGCCACTGGGGTCCGCGCGGTAGGCGGCGTTCTTCTTGGTGTAGTCAGGGGCGTTGCGACTGTCGTCGCTTCGCTGAAAATATGCCAACTACCACCCGAGCGTTGCCCATCGCGTTAGCGTTGACCCCGACAGCGTAGGCCAGGGCCCTCTCCGCCAGCGAGAGCGTTGACGCGCTCTGAGCTTCGTCCCGGGTGCCCACGGCGCCCATGCCGGCTCAGCTGCGTTGGTCGTCCTCCATGGCTGCGACGTTCGCGTCGTTCTGCTCGTTCTCGTCTTCTGCCCGATGGGCGAGGTAGGCGCCGTACTCCTGCTGGTCGACGACGTCGCCCGAGTCGCGCATCGCCCCCCTGTCGGTCGCAGGGCTGATCCCGCCTGTTCGGTGGTAGTCGAAGATGTCGTCGAAGGGGGCGATGTCTGTCTGGCCCATGGTGTTGAACTGCTGGATGATGGGTGTGTCGCGCGGGTACGTCGTCCACCCCGTCGGCCCCGCCGCTGGTTGTCTGTCGTTGTTCTTTGGTGTCTCCGTGAACTCAGGTAGTGGCAGCTGTGGTTGTGGTGCCCGGGTGTTTTGCGCGCGCCTCTGACGCGCGGCTCTCTCCTCGCTGCTGCCTGCCGGTTTTGGTCGGGGTGGATGTGGGAATGGTCTGGGTTGCTGCAATCGTCTGCTCTCGTTTGCTTCGAATGAAGCACGAATGTCGATGGCCAATCCTGCGCGCGGTTTCCATGGCGCGTCGTAGATCGGCCCCGCCCCTCGCGCTTGCCGTTGGCCTCTTTCTTTTTGGCCAGCGCGCAGTCGATGTCGGAGCAGGCGTCGCCGAGGTTGCAGGCGCGCACGTCGCCGGGCAGGCCCGCGACGCTCCTCGCCGCGAGCGCCGTCGGCCAGCCCGCCTCGGCGAGGTCTCGGTGGGCCGCGTAGAAGTCGCCGCAGACGAGCCACGGCGTAGAGAGGGGGTCCAGGAAGGGGGCCAGCGTCAAACTGCGCGCGTTCTCGCCGCGTCGCGCGCTGCCCCTCGCGTCGAGGTAGAGGGGCGCGATGGCCAGCGACGCCCCCTTCAGGCACGGCGCGATTGGAGCGCATTCTCACATGTCCAGGTATCCTGGCCCAGCGTGGCCGCGCGAGTTGGAGGCGGTCACTTGCTTCGCGCGGTGCTTGAGCGAGGTCACCTGCAGGTGCCCTTTTCGCGATGACAACCGCGCCACCTCTGGCGCCCGTCAGACTCTTCTCGCCCCGTCGCGCCGCGGCGAAGGTGCTCGCGAAGCCGACATTCTGCAAGTCGCGCTCCACGGTGTCTATCTGTGCCCGAGGCATGTGCGTCTCCTCCAGCGCGCGGACGTCGCGCCCTTCACGAAGTCCGTCGCGACGCATCCAGCCCATGACCCTGGGCCCCCACGCGGCGATGTCGGCGGACAAAACAATGCGGTCCAAGGGCCCAGCGTCTCCAGCAGGTCGCCTGCCCCCCCGCTGTGGATCCTAGTGGCCGTCGGGGGGGGCTCCTTCGCCCTTCCCGACGGCCACCGACCTGCGGCGCTCCAGGAACTCCTTGGCCTCGCTCTCGTTGGTGTCCTTGGCCCCCTTCTGCGCTGTCGCTTGCCGTGGCCGTAGACCTTGGCGGTGGTGCCGTTGTCGACGCCGCTGCTTGACCTCCTGTCTTCGCCTCCTGGGTCTTCTCCGCCTGGTCCGTGTTCCTCTTCTTGAACGCCTGCGTGATGATGGTGCGGTTCTCCTCTGCCTGTGTATTCGCCTTCTTCAAGTGCTCTGCGAGTTGCCCTTTGAACGAGGGCGCCGTCTTCTTGGCGTTGCCGACCGCTGCTCTCCCCTCTGCGTCCGTATCCTCGTCGTACTTGAAGTGCCCCTCGAGCGCAGAGAACTCGATCTCGGACGGGTGTACGATGTCCGTGTCCGCCTCGAGGATCGCGTCGAAAATGCTCTTGTTTTTCTCCTTGCCCTTTTTGGCTGGGTGGTCTCGATGATCTGCTCCACCTTCAGCACCTCGTCGGCCCTCAAGTTGCGCGTTTCGCTAGTTTTTGCCGACTTGGCGCCTGCCTGCTTCGCCTCGGAAGCCCACTTGTACCTCTTGTTGGCCTCCTCCAGCGACTTCGCCACCTCCGCCAATCATAACGCTTTGGACTTCAATGGCAGTGACGATGCCGAAGAGAAGCTGGCTGCCTTCTCTAGTGATGAAGCCGCCCCCTCCAACTACTTGACGGTCCCGTCCTTGTCCGAGGTCGCCAGCTGCATGGTGCCGAACGTGGAGGTGACCGTCTTCAGGGCCGTCGCGAGCTGCTCCACATCGTTCTTCTGCTGCTGGCCGATGGCGTTCTTGCCGCCTTGGGCCCTCGCGTCGTAGCTTATGTTGTGTTAGCTCGCGTACTGGCTCTTGCCGTAGTTGTCGCCGTAGTCCGTTGCTGCAGTCGTGTGCTTCGGAGGAGGGGAACGCTGCCGCCATCAAAGGGGGACGGACGCCAGCGCCCTCCCTGGCCAGGGATCATCTCCTGCGCAGCTTCCGCCAGACGCTTCCATCCTCCTCCCACCTTCCCATTCCCCTCCCCCCCCTTACCTCCATCCTGCCTTCCCCTGAGCCCCTCCCTCCTCCGTCCTTGCCGACGGAAGGCGCCAGGTTCGGCTCGCATCTGTTTGCACCACCCCCTAAAGCAGGCAAACAAACGTGATCATTCCGCCCACCCAGTTCAGTTATCCTCCTCCTCCTCCTCCTCCTCCTCCTCCTGTTCCTCCTCCTCCTCCTCCTCCTCCTCCTCCTCCTCCTCCTCCTCCTTCTCCGCCTTCCCCTCTTCATCATCCTCCTCTTCATCATCCACGGTTCCCTCATTGTGTGCATTCCGCATGATCGCTTTCCTGCTGTTTGCGTCCTTCCCTTGCTCTTCTACCTCAACAGCAACTTCATGTTCTGCACAGCTTTCCTTTCACCCCTGGAGAATTCTGGACGATAAAACCTGAACTGAAGCGGGGATTCCCCTCACGCTTCTTCTCTGTACTGAGTGGCATGCGCGCCCCTCCGGCATCGTCAAATTACTTGCGGCCCCCCGCCTGAGCGGTCCACGTCTTCACGAGAGACCTCCGGGCGCACTTGCACACAATGACTAACAGTGCTGATCCATGCAGCAAGCTATCCTACATTCAGCAACCCGATGGGTCGGGAGGGCATGGCTTCAGACTTGCGGAGCTTGGGGGACGAGGTTGAGAGATCATCACATACGCCTGAAACTGTCATCACCCAATTCCCAGGGCCGGCTCGAGCGAGGGCATCATGGTGAAGATCCCCAGCATCGCCCGCTCCAGAAACGCTGAATTCAAAAAATGTTGGCACATAAACCTCTGGGGGCAAGCAAATATTGGCTCAGCAAGCGGAGTCGCCAGCGATTTGTTTCTGCAGGCTTCCCGCCAACGAGTTGTTTCTGCAGGCTTCCACCAGCCTTCTGCCTGCCTCCGCCGAGCACAGGACAGGAGGTCTGGCGTACGAGAAAAACGCGCCCGATGGCAACTATAGCGCAGCAGTTAGTTCTCGAACAAACAACTGCCATGCAGTGTCCAACTTCTGCATCCGTTGGCCCCCGCCGAGAGAAGCGACGTGTCAACCTCTGGATTCCTCGAGTGCGAAGCAGTGTTTGCGGGCTTCGCCCGGCCGCGGCGCCAGAATTGAAGAAACCAAAAAGTACCAATACCGCTACTCCCCGGACCTCTCCTGGGGCGCGTTCTGAACACGGTTTCGAAGCGAATCTAGCGGTGGCGACGAGGGCCTCCCAGGAGGCCCAGAAAGAAGAAACCGGCCGAAGGCTAGAAATGTAGGTACCTCTTCCTCCTCTGCTCTGAAAAATGCCCTCCCCATCCCGAGGGCAACGAAGGAGGGGCAAGCGCGGGGACCATCGGGGGGCGCATGCGCCCTGCTGTTCCTCCTCCTCCACTTCCTCCTCCTCCTCCTCCTTTCCCTCCTTTTCCTCCTTTTCCTCCTCCTCCTCCTCTTTCTCCTCCTCCTCCTCCTCCTCCTCCTCCTCCTCCTCCTCCTCCTCCTCCTCTTCCTCCTCCTTGTCGCCAGCGCCACCAAAATCCAAGGATCCGCAGTGCCAAACACGGCGCAAACGTGGGCAAAAACAGCAAGAAACATAAAGATGAAGAAACGAAACAAGCGCGCTGCAGCCCCCCTGCCCAGGCCTCCGCCTAAGGGGCCCGAAGTCCTCCTTCGGCGGGAGCCCAAGCGGGGAAGCCAACGCCCCTGTCAAGCTTCAGCGAGATCACTGGCCTGATTCGAAGCCACGTCAGCTACAGCGGGCGCGGGGACGCAGCCCAGCGCTGCCCCTCGATCTGTCCAGAGGGGACCGCTGCGTCCGAAACTCCGACGACCAGTCGGACCCGCGCCCTGCCGAAGCATCTCCAAAGACTTCGCAGTCGCCGCATTCGGAGGCCGATTCCTCCTGCAAGGCTCAGAATGCAAATTCATCCGGTGCCTGGCGTAACTACCACACCTGGAGCACTAAACAATCGGGAGCCTGGCGCCAGGATCCCCTCCCCACAAACGATGGGTCCGATGATCCTGGCGACAGATCCTGGGCAGCCCCGAGCATCGAAAATTGGCGAGTTGGGTCCAACTGCGGCCTCGCTCCAGACATCTCGCATACAGTCACCCTTTCCCCCACCGCCCCAGGACGCGACCATTGGGGTCTGGGC